TTTTTTTGGAAAATAATATTTTTTTAAATATTATTATATGAATATGCGGTTAAAATGAGTATGTAAAAAATAAAGTTTTAAAAGAATGGGAGACAAATATGACTAAGTTTTGTAATTTCGATTTTGACATGAATAAACTATAAATTTATTAAATTTGTTCAAACCGTTCTTTCCTACATTATTTATTTATGTATTATTTTGGAGATGGGACACTTTTTGTACTTTATTCCCTAAACAAGTGCAATAATATTTGATAATATGTACGTGGCTGCGTTTAGTAATGGAAATCGTTTAATCAGAATTTGTCGGCAATTTGTTGACCGATTGAATTTGTCCAATTGTGCAATAATATTTAGGGGTGTCAATGAGTTGTGCCGTGAGCCAAAAAATTTTGCTCAGACACGGCTCAAATAAAAATGGTTCGAGTTTTTTTGATCCGGTCCAGTCGAGCAAAAGTTCGGCCAAAAAATTTAGGTTCGATTTCAGGCTGCTCGATTTTTTATTTTTAAAGTCGTGACAAATTTAATTTTTTTTTAAAGAATTTAAAAATTGTGCAATTTATACATATTATAAATATCAACAAATAAAAAAATTATAGCTAAAATAAATAGAAAATATTAAGAAAAAAAGAACTGTGTTCCGAGCAACTATGACCTGTAAGCATTTTTTTTAAAAGTTTTGTAATTTATTTTATTTTATTTTTTAGGCTCGCGGGCCAGTGTGGCTCTAGCCAATGGCCCAAAATGGGATAGGCCCGAGCCTCAATTCAGTTCTACCGAGCCACAAGTCCCCTCGGCTCAGACTTTTTCCGGATCGAGCCACAGGCCATCCGAATCAGCGAGTTATATTGACATCCGTAATAATATTTGATAATATGTACTCTGCGGATAGGGTGTTGATTAGATCAATGTATTATTGCTCGAAGAGAAACTCAATGTAAATGTTGAAAAAAAAATCGATTGGAAAAATAATACAATCATGCTATATGTACATCATCATTTGTATCATTTTTACGCTTTACCACATAATAACAAACCGTTGGATAATTTAAATCTTTGACAGTTTTTCACCCAATCAATATTAGCCAACACTTGAAATGTCGACAATAATGTTGACAAAAGACTGTTCAAATGACATTTTCCAAAATAATATTTTGACCTTGTACTCTAATCTTGCGGTG